CTGAGCACTCTGCAGCCACTCACAGCCCAGCGTGGACACTGCAGGGGGTGGCTGTGACCCGAGGGCAGGGCCCATGCCCTGGAGCACCCAGCTGAGGGACGTGGAGCCCCAGCTGGGGCTGTGTTTCACCAGAGGGTGCCCAGAGCTGCCCAAGGGCTGCCGAGCCTCCCACCACCCCGGCAGAGCAGCCCCAGGGCTCTCAGCCTGTCCTGGCACAGAGATGCTCCAGCCCCTCATCCTCCTCCTAGCCCTGCACTGAAGAGCAAACTGCCACACGCTGTTTTGGTACAAAAGCACCTGGAATGGTGCCACTGGTGCTGCCCCCCCGGGTCCTGCACCCCTGCTCCAGGCAGGAGGGGCACAGACAGAGGTCTGCAGGACACACAGGCACAAGATGCTGGTGTTCCAGCTCCTCGGGTGTGTCTCCTGGGGCAGAGGGGTGATAAGCCTGGCAGAGAGCTGCAAATCGCTCTTTATTCTCGAGGAGTAAGTACTTGGGCAGATAAAAAGATGGAGGGATGTTTCTAATCAGACTTACAAGATAATGCAGGATAATTGTTACCAGCGAGTCGAGACCGCAGGAAGAAAGATAAAAGGGAATCCTGCCAAGGGGAACTTGAGAAAATCTTTTACTACTAGACAAAATGCAAATAACCGAAAGCAAGTGTAAAATAGCAGAGACAAAAACTCTGCCCTCACTGAGATGTTTTAATTTTTAAAACATGAGATGCTAAGAGACTGGAACCAGCATTGCTTAGTTTTAAGAGAGGAGCAGTTGTTACGGGGTGCTCAAAGCCCAGCAGGTCCACTTCCTGAGATCTCAACACAGAAAACGCAATAAAACCCTGATGACAACCTTCTGAGCAGCAGAAGGGATGTTTTTTCCCCACACCTATGAAAGGAGACATCTAGTGAAACAGGCTGTCCTCCACCCACCAGCTCAGCTGGACGTGGCCCTGGCTGAGCCATCTCCCTTGGGAGCTGGACCTGACTTCAAAGCTGTCCCCACGGCGAGCGGCGGTCACGGCTTCACCCCAGCCACCCCCCAAGTCCCCCCTCTGAGCCACACGACACCCCTTCTGGATGGCAAACCACCCCCTTGGAGCAGAGCTCCTGAGGGAGGCTGGAGGCTGTGGGGGTGCAGTCACAGGCACCACGTCTCGCCCCGGGTCCCCCCTTCTCCTGCCACCCCCCAGGCTCCACCCGAGAGCTGTGCAGGCAGGCAGATCAACCGACCTGGAGATGGCAAGCCTCCCACCCTGCTCCTGCCCTGGGGCACCCCACCTCCTCTCCTGGACCACCTCCATCACGGAGCTACAGCCTCCAGCTGGGTGGTCCAGCCTGAAGGTCCTGGCTACCTTGAATATTTGGCCTGACTTCTTGAAGACTACATCTTGTTTTACCATGTCGAGAAGCAAAGATGGTAATAATCGAGAGCTAATGATGTGGAGGATTTTTAAACTCAAATGTTGAATTCAGATGCCGAAAAAAGATGTGAAAAAGTCACCATGGCTTTACTGTGGACATACTGATAGGAAGTTTTTATACTTTTAACATCAGTTCAAATAAAAAATTATTTCACAGAATTGTCCATTCTGACTGACTTCAAGCCCGTTTTCCTCTCTCTCTGGTGGGAGGAAGGTAGCCCAAGATGCTATGAAGGATCCCAAGGCTCTAAAAAAACTGACACTTTCTAAGTAGGCCTACACAAACCACCACCTTGCAACAGGCAAATGATCCTTGAGGTCCCTTCCAACCTAAGAGTTATCATTCTACCATGTGGAGCCTTCCCACAGGATGTTCTCCTGGGCATTTTACTTCTCCAATTTCAATCTCTCACAAGAAGACTCAGGGAGCCCCATTGCTTCGTTATCCACACACAAGGTATTTTCTGAGACACAGATACCACCTACCAGGCTACACACACCTTTGTGTGTGTACATACCAACACATCTATAGCAAAACATCAAGACCAACCCACACTCAACATTTGCACGAGCAGAGGGCCAGTTTCTGGCAGCACTGTGGTTTCCACCACGCCACCACATCTCCCCTACCCACAGGATGCTCCATCCTGCATGGGTACCACAAACACAGCAAACTCCAAGGCTCAGGTGTCCCCTGAAGTGGGCTGGCCGTTCACTTTACTCATAAACTTCACTTCCCTTTTCTCCTTCAAACATGACCAGGGCTTCCCAGGACCTCCCGGAGCGTCGCCACGCTGTGGAGCACGGCTGCCACCCACCACCTGCCAGGGGATGGCACCTAGTGAATACAGCCCCTCCCACACACCACTCTGGGCACCAAAGGCCTGGGGTGTGGGCAGGTCCTGGCACTGCTGGGGACGCAGAAGATGCCACCTTTCCTGCCACCCCCCCACCCTGCAGCCAGCGGTGCCGCCGGTTTGGCTGTTCTACAAACAACAGCTCTGCCCCGGGGTGGAGAGAAGATAGGGATCATCCCCCCAGCCTGGGAATGGAGAGTGTAAATAATACTTATCTTTAGAGTATCCAACCCACTTTGAAGTTCTGTGAATATATTATTTATTTCCATCTCTTTAAACAGCCCCCTACTGTCACGCTCAGCAGACTGGGGTGGAAACAAGCACCCCGACAAGAAGGAATACTCTCAGAATTCCCATGGGAAGCATCAGCAAGGCTCTGAGGCTGATGGGCAAAGCCCTGCCTGAACTTCCCCTCTGCTACCACCACCTCGGGCACACAGGTACCCCAGATACACGGGGAAACTCATGAAATAATTCAGCCAGTTGGAAAACCATGAGATTCATGGCACCACAGAATCATTTAGGTTGGAAAAGACCTTTAAGTGCATTGTGTGCAACCATTAACCTGACTCTACCAAGTCCACTGCTAAATTATGTCCCTAAGCACTGAAGCCCCAGCCCTAGGTGGTTTTTTTTTTCCTATTCAGGTGAAAAAGGCTTCTGGGAGATAAATAAATACCAGTACAGAGAAGGCTGATCACAGAGGCAGGGATCAAAATAATTCTGCAGCCCTTCCAGGTCTTTTTGGAAACACATATGAAGCTGATGGGACAGCAGGAAAACCTGGACCCTCTGCTGCTCCAGATGTGGATGTGACTTGTGACAGCAGAGGGGCCAGTAGCCACTGGTAAGGCCAGGGCCAGGCTCTCTTCCCCCTTTTACACAGAGCAATCACAGATTTCTCTGTAGAAGGAGAGTCTGCCCAGCTCCCTGTTGAAAATATAGAAATCACCCCCCCAGAAGCAAAGTCCTGCTCTCCAAACGTGCCTTCCCATCCACGGCCACGGGTCCAGGAGGACAGGGGGTCCAGAAGGAAGAGAGAACCACGAGGAACAGGGAGCCAGGAGGAATGATGGACCAGGAGAAACGGAGTCCAGGAGCAAAAAGGAAGCCAAGAGGAATGAGGGGGACTTGAGGAAAAAGAAGGCAGAAGGAATGAGAAGGCCACAAGCAACAGGGACCCAGGAGAAGATGGGGGAAGGAGAAAAGAGGGTCCAGGAGGAAGAGGGGGCCAGGACACCAGCTCCCCTGCAGCACCACCTCTGTGTGCTGCAGCACATGTGGGGTCACTGCCACGCTGGACGGAGCAGAAGATGCTCAGTTCAGTGAACGTGAAGAGGAGATGTGTCTGTGTGGAGACCAGCCCCTCAGTGCCATGGAGAGCTGCTCTGGGGCCTCTGAGCAACACCCTCCCCAGGAAACCCACCTGCCAGCCCCAAAACGCTGCGTTTCCCTCAGGATCACCTCGGATCCTCTCCCTGCAGCACCTGCACGACGACGGAACCTTTCTGAACTGACCTGCCCCAGGAGTGGGTCCTGAGGAATCAGTCATGCCAATGTTTCTTTTACTGCTCACAGATGGCATTTGAGGAGCAGACCCAAGCTGTAAGAAATGGGGGAAGGTTTCCCCTGTGACATTCCACTCCTCTCCTTACAGTTAACCCCTCCTGTGCCCACACACACCACAAACACTCTGAACAGAAAGGAAAAACTACCACCTGTAGTAGTAGCTCTGAGCTATGGTTAGGAAGAGATTATTCCCACCCTGCCAATGTCCCAAGCAAACTCAACAACCAACCTGTTTGTCCTTCCAGAGCCTGAAGCCCTGGTGTCACCCTAGTGGATACACAAACCCGGGCAGTGAGAGGAGCTGTGAGGTGATGCATGTTAACATGTGTTCAATGCTGGCCACATTTACAAGGCTGACAGAAAGCAGATTTGTGCAAAGCCCTTATAAACCTCTACTAGTATATTAAAAAGGGACCGGCGCAGGGCACCCTGA